TCACGGATGATTTACCAATTGCATGAGTCGATAACTTTCTTTGACTTCGTTTAAAATCTCTGTGTTATTTGCAATCAATAGTGTCATATTTGCTAAGCTCTCTTTTGACTTTTTAGCCGTCTCTTGGCATTTCTTATATTGCTTGAAGATGTTCCAGACTTGGAATGCTGGAATATAAAACAGTACCATTCGACAGTTAGTATTTTTTCCTGTCAGTTACTTGACACCATTGAACTGGTGCCGAGGCAACAGTCTCAAGCCGTTTCAAGTTGTCAAAGAACATTAACTGACACCAAGGAAAGAAATAGCATTACTAACATCAGAGGCGTGATGGTCTAGTGGTTATGGGACCGGACTCAGGTCTGAAAGGCCCGGGTTCGATTCCCAGACCGGACGATCACGTGGTGTCCTTGGGCAAGATACTTTACTCTTTCACTGCCTCGTCTTCTCGGATACGGAGGTAAAGCCGGACGTCCCGTCTGCTTTCACTCTAACCCTGTTATAAGGTAGACGTAAAAGAACCACTGAGGACGTAAACAAATCTCTGGCAGTGACCACCCTCAGTGACTTACTTACTTACTTGAACTCACTCACACTCATGATTGTAAGCCGCGTGGCTGTTAAGCGCCTTAAATAGCGGTCCGACCATTACTTCGTTGTGAAAGCGCATTGAAACAGTGTGATAATGCGCTATATAAGACCACATATTATYATTAATTGCACATTCAGACAAGTCATKGAGTTAAAAGCTAGGGGGAAAAATCAAAGAATCAAAGGTGGATCCAGGGAGATGTGATTAGGGGGGAAGCCGCCCCCTTTTTAGGGGACAAAAAAATAATAACAAATGAGCTCAAAATAAAGTTATATATACCAATTCGCTTGTTCGATCTTTCAATACATGAAAGCATAAGCTACTCAAATTAGCACTAACAACTTATCTTGTCAGTTAATAATATTTTTTGTAATCCAATTTAAATGTGAAATTGCATTTTTTTTTTCCCCAACATTGCTCTGACCTTATTTTTATGATTTTTTYATGATCATTTATTACATGTTTTTGTTAATAAATAACTTATATAATTTGTTGATAAAATGCTCAAAATATACATTTGACCATCTTGCAAAAGCAGCTCTCACAATCTCCGAGTTATGTTGCCATTGTTAGCTTGATTTATTTCAGCAACAAGTCTTTGTAACATTTTGGATCCGCAACTGAAGAAAACACGAAGTTTTAAACCAACGTTCCTTAAAACCAGCGATCTCTTTACTTATGCAAAGTGAACCTTGCCCCTGGTAAAGTACGGTTCAAAGTGGTGTCGCCAATGCAATATCGCTTACCTGAATTTGCGACACCCAGCCATGGCGTGACCCTTCTAATAATGCTACCAAACACTTTGGCCACTTTGGCAAGTCCCTTTTTGATTGAGTTTCCTATGGMTTGMAGACCCCTGCCAAATCTAGTATTCATGATTTTACTCGCCCTGATTCTGCTGGACAGTCTTCCCAATCGACCTTTCTGTTGAAATGTCAAAAGGAAACGTYACGTATCGTTTTTACGATTATGAATCCTKTTCGAAAATAAATGGCAATGAGCAATGTGCAGCGACGCCATTTTGTACAGCAAAGCATGATGGTAGTAGTAGTCCTCACACTTCTTATACTAGAATCTGGAAACGAGTATGAAAATATTCCACATCAAATTATTGGACTAAACCCCCCGTCATTTCAAGTGTAACTGTGTTTGGTAAAATACCGGGTGGCTATTTTTTTGAATTTTGCCAAAAAAAGAAAGTGTAATTAAGGGAGTTTTTGGTGTCTTTTCATGTCTTTTACGTTCTTTTTTTTATTTTTTATTTTTTTATTTTTGTCGAGTTTTAACGCTTACCGCTCTGTAATTATTGATCAGTATACGCTCAAATTSGGTGAAAATACGTATTTTAGTAAGTTCTTTCTTGTCAACKGGAGTTTCTTGATTGYTTCAAACGGCATCGAGATTCTGACTCGTCACCAGTCACTGTATCATGGACTGAATTTTAGAAAGATACAAAAACGCGTTTTGAGCAATGCTCCATTTTGCAATGGTGTTTCTATCTGTGAGTAAAAAGGTATCTATCACTGCAGGCTAAACGCCTGTCTCGMTTTKAWGCAAAGGCTTGGTTACCTTTCAAGATGGCGYTTGGGACTGTTAAATGGAGAACCAAGCATAATAATGGTTTCAAAACACGAAGAACAAACAAACTTACGAAATAAAACGTTTAGTTTTACTTGCCTTATTTTTGTTGGTTCCGTCAGGTGCTTCAACCTTCGAACTTTCACCGAATATGACTTTTTTAAATTTGCATTTAAGCTGAAAAGAATAACGATAATGTTGGTAATTCTTCTGGGGATGGTAGGGAATATAATATGTTTATTATGATAATATTATATTAACCGCGAGCGCGAGGGCCATGCGGTTAGTTAAGGAACGAGTTTTTCCAAACAGTTTTTGTCAGATTTTAAATGGCAAAATTACGATACTTACTGCTGTGATAGGCACCTATGCTAAATTTGAAAAGGGTTACAAAAAGAATATAATTTGAAAATTTCATGCTTTTGTCCCGAATGATGTAACCTTTTGTAACCAGACAACTGTTTTCGATGTAATCATTGTTATAGTATTTCCGATTTGAGTATACATTAATTATAGAATATTCCAGATCGTCTGAGATATATATATATATATATATAATTCCTTACTTCAATGAGTTTCTTCCCAAAGATGGTGTCCTTGACATAACGATCCCAGAGAAGTTGACCCCCAGCCATGACCACACCCATTGAATCCCAAAATATCTTCATTCCTAAGTCAACCTTAGACAAATATCCTAAAAAGATCTTGGTTTCGTTGACTTTTTTTCCGGTTTTATTTGCATTTGTGAGGAGTGTCTGATGAAAAGTAAAATAATGAATTATAGTAAAATAATGAATTATACTTTGAAAGTCCAGACTGATTTAAAACARCTAGCAAAATTCGTTCAAAGTTTCAATTATTTTGATGCTATTTTACCTTAATTTTGGAAGTTTGATTTTTGACAAGATCTATAACTTCAGGGCCTAATGACTCAAACACTCTTTCCYTTTCATCTGCAATTTCTTCTAATTTATCCCGAGTTCGTCTGTACTCATAGAAGCTCTCGTTGATGTATAGCTGCAGACTGTAGGCTTCGAAACAGAAAAATATACAAATCATATAGATGTCGATTAAGCCAGAAAAATGAAGCTGCAAAAAACAACTGCGTAACATTTTTGCGACATATATAGAGACTATTACATGGGAAAGCGGAGATACGGATTTTATCTTCGAGTGTTGAAAAGATTTTCAACACGAGAAAATAAAATTCGTATCTCCAAGTGACCATTATTCTGTTTATCATATAATTACATATGAAAGTAAATTATGTCGTAAAATAGCTTTCTTTTTTCTTACTTCCACTATATAGGGAAACCTCAAAAGCTGTGAAAATAACARCTTTACGAAATGGAGAAATATAGGTAGTATTTTATGGATAATTATATGATAAAGGGTAGACATAACTCGTTTTTTGGRATATCGATTGTAAACAATTACTGAGTGCTAAGGACTCCTTAGTTCMCCGTGAATGTAACTATATTTTAGTTGAATCATTTGGCCTAATCTTCTTGATATTGAATTTGATTCGTAGCGAGAACGATTTAAAGAAATGGCAAATTTCGCTGGCCGTGAACTAAATAGGAATTGAAGAAAATTACATTACATTTAGTTACCTTGATTTTTTATTCCAAAAATGTGTTTCGTCAAACTATCGAATTTCGCAACTTTGTCTTTATAGTCCTTCCAAATCTGTGGAAGTTCTGGGACAAGTCTTGTACAACCATTTATGCCCTGRTCTATTGAAAAACCTAGGGATGTAACGGACGCMGCCAAGGAGCTTGCTTGTGAGAAAGTTTCGACTTTTTTTATAAAGGCGTCTTCTCCAATGAGCTTCCAACCGCTCTTTAGTTTAGTTCCAAGTTTTTTGACACCTTTTTTAAAAAGGTTTCCTATAAGATTTCTGGAAGCCCTGTCGCTGCATTCTTTTTTTGATAAGTAAGAGAGGAAAAAAAGAAAACGTTAGGTCATTGTAATTAAAATTGAAGAAATTGAAAAAACTACTCAGTATGAGGAAACTATATATACACTGAATATAAAACGACACAACCGATTCGTAAATATCTAAGAAATATTTAAAAAAACCCGCAAAAGTATAGCGAAACCTTGGTCGTCATTGTCCTCTTTCTCTTCCGCGTAATCTTGCCTTTCTTCATCATCATCGCTGATTCTGGTTCTTGATAGATTACCGCTGAAGACTGGAGAAARCTGCTGYARCAACAGACATAGCGAGAGAASTACRAACAGCCGTTTTTGAGRCTGCGCCATGCCTGAAAATAGATAGGCCTGAATGRCTTTGCTTCTGTTGATGTAAAAAGTTGGTAACTAATTTTTAAAATAAACTGAATCTGGTTATCGAAGCCTATCTTCGTCGACTACATTTACCGAACTCTTAAGCTAAAATTTCTAATATATTAAATATCATAAAGAAATACACTGAGATATAAAAAAATATGGAATAAAATTGTAAAGACTAGAATGATTCATTGTTTTATSGCTCCAAGCTGGTCATCAGAGATAAAAAAATACATATATAGTATATATTTGTAGTACCGATCTAATATATGACGAAAACCTCACAAACAAAAGAAATATAATTAGGATATGATTTAGCACTGTTTTTTCAGGGTTTTTTTCACTAGTATATATATTGATAATCTGTGGACCGGCGCGAAAAGAGCCGAAAAAAATATCTAGTACTAGTTGATTGTCAAAGCTGATAAAACACAAAAGAGAACAATAAATTTACAGTATTAGGCTTACTTCTCTTTCTTGTTTATCACTCTAGTAAGTGATCTGCTTTACGACCTTTAAATCACCTGGATGGAGTAACAACTCTGTCTGTAGGAACCGAATCCGACTGACAATTGGCATCAGTAATGGCTTTCWTGCAATTCTTCATTGATTTTTTATCTACCAGCAAAGGCGGTGTCCCACCCCTTTTTATTAGACGATTGATTCGCTACATTCYCCATTTCTCACATGAAAATAAATCAATGGAAAATGGTAGATATTCTTTAAGTTATAATATATGAATATTCGCTTAAGAATTAATTGGTCATTTAAAACTGCTCGCGGTTTTTYTTCGATTGGGTTTAMCTAATAAATTATCAATGATCCGAYAATTGTATTTCAATCAAAACAGTGTGAAATAAAATCGTTACACTTGACGTTTGAAACATTGAATAATTGTTTGTGTGAAAAYACTCGARTCGAAACAAAGAAAAGCAATTAAAATAGAGTGGTTTACATAAACCTCTGATACAAAGTGTAATGGTAATAACAACGCACAGTTAACAACCCGTGAAAAGTTAAAATGACCTTATTTTAAATATCCTAATGTTTGGACGATTTCATACCCCCCCTAAGCAAGAATTTATATAAATTGAAAAAAGGGCCCTATTTTCATATAACTACATCTAAATATATCTGCAGTGACGTGCGAGATTCTTATTTGGTAAAATAAAGAGAGAAATAGTTTTTTGTGGGGGAGGGGTGCGTAAGGAGCAARGTTAGACTTAACTATCTTGCTTTGAAGAGGGGTTTTATTTTAATTTCTTTACAATTAGAACTCTATCTCAAGGAACCTAAATAGTCTAAAATTATGTTAACTATCATTACGTTCATATGAGAAACTGGTGAAGCTGCAGCCAGTCCCCAAAAAAGTGTCGGACGTTTTTATTTGCTGGTTTTCAATGATGTAGAAAAAGTGTTGTACCACGAAATGACTAAGAATAACGATAAATGTAGTAGGCTTAAGTGTCATTCTGGGGTTAAAAAGACGTTAAGGTCTACAACTGATTAAAGTGTATCTAGCTAGTTGTCCATACAAACTAAACTAAACTAAATTGTAAGTGCATGAAGACTTCGGTAACAAAGCAGTGATGATCGATAAAGGCGCAGTCTTCATTTGCAGTAATCCCTTATTATCATAATAAGAATGTTCCAGTTTTTTTGGAAAATTGGTTTAGTTTTCTAGAAAAGCACAAAACGTCTAAGGTTTTTATGGTCTTTTTTATCGGATCTGTTAATTGGTCCGACTGAAACCGTACCTACCAATCGTACCGGTGGCAGTGGCCTTGAATTTTGATTTGTCAAATAGATGTCACAAAAGAAATTTTAACAGGGTGAGATCACAAAACAGGTGAAATAGATATTGCACTTATATACTTTAGACATCTCTAATTGCCTTGATGAAATAAGTATAAATGTAACGCGCGCATAGATTGTTTTTAAATGTTAAAAAACACCGTTTTGTTGTAAGTGTTTCAAACAGACAATGGAACGTACATGGAATAGGTTTCTAGTTGACAGCGAGAGGTTTGCGAGGCTAATAGTAGGTAAACTCTATACTCTGTTGTTTTCTTCTGTTTTTATTTCATCAAGCAATAATAATAGCTATTATTTATTTAATAAATAGCCGTTATATCTTCATGGAAATGGCTCTGACTGGAGTATATGATTGTAGTAGCATGACTGGAGAGGTTGTTATAATGTAAATTTAGATGTATCATGAGACAAGCGCAGTGTCTCGCCTGYAATGATTTGTTTCTCACCATTTGTTGTAGGAATCAGAATATCTATGCAATACAGTATACAAGCTTGTATTGTAAAAGTGTTTTAAAAAATAGAACATAGTGCTTGAAACTGAGGTTCGWAAAACAAATAAAGAATATAGAAATGACTATAGGAAGTATATATATTTGGATCTTTGGCAACATAGTTCCAAATCATGGGAATTTCGGTATGGTGTTATGTCGCTGTTTACGATCTCATAAAAATTCAATGCGGTAATTATAGTCTAAAACTGAAAGAGGCGGTTTATGGACTTAATTAATTTTCTAACCTAGAGTCAGTGGCCCCTGCTGGTCATCAGGCAGGTCGAGTTTTTCCCCTTATCTCCCGGCTCTCCCCGAATCCTGGACCTGCCGAAAGGCTGATTTCAGCTTCTGCTCTCAGAGTTTGAAGCTGAGTGTATATATAGACTAAAAGGTTTGAAAATTACCGTAAAGTTAAATTATTATTAGGGGTTAGGGTTAGGGTTAGGGTTAGGGTTAGGGTTAGGGTTAGGGTTAGGGTTAGGGTTAGGGTTAGGGTTGTGGAAATGTCTGAGTACTGGCTTGAGTCTTGAGCTAATACTAGTACTAGTAATCGTTTAAAACCTAACATGAGATTAAAAAGACMACTGAAAGATAAAAGACCTCGGCGGCCATGTTGGAAAAATGAACAAATTGATACTAATGATTAATCTTTTGTTGAAGTTCCTCCAAGATGGACGCTGTGACGTAACTTGAAAACGAAGAATACACTAAGTGTGGGAACCCCCGAAGAAAAAATCTCGGTCGAAAATTTGAGTTTTGAACACAACTATCGTTCTTTTTGAACACATCCAGTGTAATATAATTGAAACCGATCGTGCGAAATGGCCACGTGGGTTTTTTGTCAATTGAACATTCACGAATAATCGATTCGATCTTTTTCTCGTGCTTTCGACACAAGTAGTTCCGTAATATTAGGACAATATTAAACAGGAATCCCAATTTATGATTAAAACGGAGTTTTTATAGAGTCTTCAAACGCTTCAGCTACCCTCACTTGTAAGATACTGATCGACGTAATAAAGAGGTCACAATGGTCACGTGACAATARCATGTTCGTACTTATCAATGTTACTTGATAGAAATGAAGTGACGTAAAAGCGGAAGTCATTTAGTCACGCGATCAGCGTTTCCTGCTAAAAATCTCTAAACAACATAGAATTGCTATAAGGCAAGGTAACAGGTAGTACCATATAATATGAATGATTCTTTAAAACCCATGATTGACTACACATCAGAAAARGACTATAAATCCATGTCTAGTACACCTTGGAATAATTCGYCWCAAAGTTCCTGCTCTSGATGTACAAGCGAATTCGACGAAACTCCAGAAAGCGAAGAAATCCCTCTCAACATTGACAAKCAGCTCTCATTCATCATCAGTWTTCTCAAAGTCTTGGGTATTGTGAAACTGAGAGGAAAACTTGGCTCATTGATTATATGGATTACACTTCCTTTAATKTGGGTTCCTGTTGTATATTTAAGTATATGCATCATGAAAGCAAATCATGTGATGGCATCGCCGAGCGGACTYCCAACAGTTTTGCTCTTTGCTGGCATGGCTGGATCACAGTTATTTGGCGTGCGATACTCAACAAGCCACTACAGAGATCTCAGGGCAAAYATAAGGCTTGCCTTACGACGGGGAAATCTAAGGAGAGATGCGTCAATTCTTTTGAGTGCTTCAGTGATACTTCACGGMGTTTATCTAGCATTGTTACTACACTTATACCTCAGGCAGCCCATTCCAATACCCTGGATTGGAATTATTTTTGTCTACTTTCTCGGATTCGGCTTTTGCTCTTTCGTATGCATCGTTATGAATGTCTTATTTAGCACCGTTTGCACTTCCATTCGAATCAAAATTCATGACTTTAAGGAGCGTCTGCGGAATTGGAAACATGGACTGTCAGAAGCTCTAAACGAATATAACGAAATTTGTGWTTTTATGAATCGTCAGTCGGAAGCAATAAAATGGTGGATTCTTTGTAATTTATTGAGTTTCATAACTATTTGGATTGTCGACTTTCATCTCTGGCAAATTCTGGGCTCGGCCAAGGTACACACGGACGTAGCACGACTCGTACTGTATAACTGCAGCTGCTACGAAGGCTATAATGGCCATGAAGACAAATACATCCCAATCAAGGATATTACCGGTTGCGAAATATTATTTTCGTTTCTAGTGTTCTTTCTGTTCACTTCTCCTCTCTTTTGGGCAGCAATGGTATCTGTTGATTGTAACGCTTTCAAGGAATGGGTCAACAAAATGCAAACTCACACGGATGATAAACCTTTAGGAGAATTCAGCATTAAGACACTGGATTTCTTCATCAACCGTGTCCAAATGGCCAACTATTTTGCATTTAGGTTGTTTGGTATCAATATTACTAAATTGGTATATTCCGTGACTGGTTTGATGACGACTGTTCAAGTTGTTCTCAG